GATGTTTGATAGGAAAGAAGAAGCAGCAGCAAACCATACCAGAGCACCCGCCAACCACCCACGAAAAACAAGACAGAACCCAGTCAGAGATAAGGTAGGAAGAAGGTGGTGGCAATGGATTGGGATTACTCTCAGGAATCAGGCAGCTGCACAACAAAGAAAATGTTGGACTGGAACAGATACGGTAAGACATCAAAGGGAAGACCGCGTGGAACCTGGAGAAGAATCACAGAAATTGATGTACACAAAAATGGGAAGACATGGAATAACATCAAAAGGCTAGCACAGGATAGAGAAAGGAGGAAAGTGTTTGTCCTTGGCCTTTACCCTGGTGCAGGGTGAGAAAGGCAATGATGACGACTTGATGACGATTATTGTGTAAACCTGCCTCACTTTACTCAAACAAACGAGCCAGTCACTTATGACTCAACAAACGAACAAACAGCCACTTATGACTCAACAAACGAACATACAAAAAAAAGTCACATATAACACAAACACATAAATGATCACTTATGACACACACACACACACAAACACACACACAATCACTTTTGACGCATATAACAAATAAATAAACAAACAAACAGTCACTTATGACATCGGTCGGTCACTCACAGGAAGAGTCGAGGACATTGGCCTCAGCCCTGGCCTCCTTCAGCTGTTCCTTCCTGCTCATCACTTTCAGGTCTGAGGCGCTCATATCGTCGAAATGTTTTTCATGCCTGAGGATTGGGGAGCGGGGGGGAGCCAGCAAGCATTAAATCAATAATTCATTCAATCAATCCATCAATCTCTGCTGCAAGCCTGCCCAGTACTCGAGGCACCAAAACAGAAATATTGGCCCAACCCTAGGCTTTTAACCCGATAAACCCTGACCTCCTGAGCCCAAAATAACCCGTCCCCTGGCTTCCTGAGTAAAAAAATGCCTACACGGCTACACAGAAAAGACACAAGTTTATTTAAACCAATTCCCTCTTCTTTGAGCTGCCTTGACTATTACAATAGTTAGCCTACTACGAACCTACAAGTCTTTTTGACGTCATTTGCCCCCCTTTATCCATGTATGAACTGCTGCTCTATGGTAGATCATCACACACCCATAAATCGGTGCTTCGGGGCAGGGCAGATAACTTCCACACCGATGTATGTATGTATAGAGTTTTACGGCGCTCGCAACTGCATAAGGTCATATGAGCACGCAAAACACCAGTTAGTTTTATTCGCAGTTCACTGTACGGCTGGGTACGGGTCATTTGATCTTTAAACGTTAAAATATTTAACATTTGGTGTAAATATATATATATATATATATATATATATTTCATAATTCAATTTTGTTCTATCAATTTTCCATAAAGGCCGATGGCCTTCATAAAATCCAAAATTCTGTTGGGATCAACGACGGAAAAAATGTCTTGCAATTTTTTGCATTTGGGGTACATGTATTTCCTTCGGATCTCTCCCACATTCGGTTAAAATGTGTTTAAGTTTAATGGTAAAATCTGTGTCGCATCAGACACAGAACGGCTTCTCATCTCCCTGAAGGAGGTATTTGTGTGTTACGGCCGTGTGTCCAATGTGTAATCAAGTTAAAAAATGACTTCGTCTGTTCTGGAGAGGTCCGAAGGATTTCGCGGTCCCAGTTTGGGTTTAATATTGTGGAGTTTGTTACCCGTCTGTTTTTTCCAGTGGCTCTCCGACAGGCTGGAGGTGTACTTTTTTACTTTATTTTTAAAGTCAGTCTGTCGGAGAGTATTCGTCGTTGACCCCAACAGAAGGGATGAGGATTTCTTCGCCAGGTCATCTACCTGCTCGTTTCCTCGGATGCCTACATGGCTAAGTATCCGTGCGAACATGATATTTTTTCCCTGTTTCAGATAGGGTGTGAATTTTCTGTTGTAGCCTAACTATTTTTGGGAGTAGGAATGTGTAGTTTGTGAGTGGGGAGATGAAAGACAGAGTCAGAAAGGATAAGGACAGATTTGTTAGGACCGGGGTATTTATCTATAAGTTTTTTTTGTATTCTGCTTTAATTAAATGTTTTGGTGTTTGGGCTTTCTTTGTTGTGTGTGGTCAGCTGTAAGTCTACTTTTGCCCTGGGAAGGTGCCACGGAGGGAGGTCAGGGAAAAGAAATTGTTGGATGTCTTGTTTGGAAAAGTGTAAGTTTTTTAGGTCTTCAAGGATTCTGAGGCCGAAGGGTTTGATGAGTTTTTCGTTGTTTTGGAATTTGTTTATGGTTTCTGGGTTTGTTTTAAAAATTCAGTTGTGTGCTGGGTTACTGGTGTTGAGCTGTTTAATAACGTATTGTAGTGAGAGTTGTGCGCGTCTGACTGAGTGAGAGTGGTGGTATGTTTGCCTCGGCCGGGAGGCTCTCCACCACAGAAGTGCAGAAAGCCCCCAGAGCGAGGCGGAGTCCTTGTTTTGTACTGGGTCCAGCATTTTCAGGATGTATGGTTTTGCCGATCCGCAGACTTGACATGAGAGAGAGAGAGAGAGAGATAATGTATGTGTGTGTGAGAGAGAGAGAACAAGTTTGTGTGTGTGGGGGGGGGGGGGCTTGAGAGAAAGAA